AACTAAACAGAGGATATGGACAGCTTTATAGACTAATGAATAGGAAATCTCAACTTTCAGTCGAAAACTGACTACTAATGTACAAGACAATCCTGAAACCTATCTGGACCTACGGACTAGAGCTGTGGGGGTTAACAAAGCCCTCTAACATTAAGCGCATTCAATCCTTTCAGTCTAAAGTCCTCCGAACAATAGTCGATGCTCCCTTCTATGTAACCAATAAAACCCTCCATAATGACCATTATATCCCATTTGTTATTGACCTAATCCCAGACAAATTTTCCAAATTTCACCAGAAACTCACTCATCCAAATCCTGTAGCACAATCCCTATCTAACTCCAGCCATCCCTACAATCCTTCCCAGAGGTTAAAACGGCAGTGGCCCCACAACCTTTTGTAAATATGTATATATTGGAATACTGGCAATGGCCAGATTCTCCACTCAAGTCCTGAGCGTCTGTTGCTCTATTGCTTGCAATACCAGTGATGCGGCTGGGAGAGAAGCACTGGGATCTCCTGAGGTCCTGCCTTGGCTTCCACATTTAGGGGATAAAGCATGACTTGGAATCCCCTGGGTGAATGTAAATATTGTATATAGGTGTGAATGTGTTTTATATATTTCAATTTCATTTAGTTACTTTTTTAAATTTTATTTTTTTTTTTTTAAATTATTATTTGAAAATTAATTAAAGAACGTTAAATTGTGCGTCAAACGAGTACCTAAGCTTTATACTTTGGGTACGAGGTAAGGTATAAAACCACGATCAAGCAATGCTGATTTTCACCAAATTTGTCAAAAACTGAAACAAATTACTATAAATGGCCCTGCACCTTGGAAATGAATTCCTTAAGAGGAAAAACATATAGAATAGAAGTTGTAGAGCATCAAATTTTGCGTCTAGTGAGTACCAAATTATTTAATGTAGGTCACTTATTTCGAACAAAATCGGTATTCTTCCAATGGTTAAAAATTGTTAATGAAGATAAAAGTGGATTTCAATATTTCAACAGACTGATCGCCTATTCTACTGTATTGTGTTTTTTTAGAGTCTGTTACATGCAGTATAATCCTCTTTTCCACCTCTCAGCAGTGAAGGATTTTGATAAACGATGTGTCATAAAGATACTGAATGTCATAAAGAAATAACGAATCCTTATGCGAAATATATAATTGGCCTACAATACAAATATCAGTACTCAGTGGATGCAAACTTTGATGCTCTACAACTTTGATTCTATGAATTTTCTCACATTAAAAACAAATAATCAACAAAAAAACAAAAAAATAAAAACTTTTCTCACATTTTTCGCAATGGGTTTCCCGTTTCGATCCTCAAATTACTAGCCTAATATTCTTTAGATCAGCTGCCATTTTTTAAAGCATTGGCTCTGGAATGGCAGATAAGGTTCTTTTTACTCAGAATAATATACACTTTCGTAATTTACAATCAAACCTTCACCTGCGATCAGGTTGATTTTTGGACCCTTGCTCTCCAGAGCTATCAGGTAACTTACTCAGATCCTGGGTATCCAAAGAAGCAGAATGACTGCTTACCACCCTCAAGCTAACAGCTGTGTGGAAAGTTGGCATTACAGTTTGAAAACTGTCTTGACGCCACATCTCATTACCTCGTTCAGCTGGATGGAACTACTGCCTACAGTCCTCGGTTTGCAAGCAGCAGTTTGAGATGACAATAACTCCAGTGCTTCAGAGATTGCTGTAGGTCACCTTACACATGACCACACCAAGTTATAAAGCGCCAGGATTAGACCTTCATCATCCAACTTCCTTCTGATCCTTAGAGCGTCTCTGTCAGTCACTTGAAGCCTGCTTACACTCTTAAGGATCCAACAAAACAAAAGTAGCTGAAGGAAACAAAATACACACTATCAACTTCTATGGATTGCACACAGAACTATGCACCAACTGAAACAACCGAAACCACAGACAATGAATCAGCTGCAGAACAACAACCAGAGCATGTTACCCATCGAAGACGCCAAATCCGTTTATCAGTGACATTCCGTGACTGAATAATTGGAGGGCAGTGAAGTAGCGGCATGACTAGATGGACTACGTCTCGTCTCCCTTTCATTTCAAGGTGATAACAGGACTACCAATTACAGTCTTTCTATAATCGATATAGTAGTTGAATTATCCATCTGTTGTGATAAGAAAAAACTAAGGTTATATAGACGAGTAATTACCTTTTTTTGTAAAAATTGTCTGGTGTGTTTATTATGGGCTAATTTTTTTCTTTTATAACCATTTTTTGTTTCTCTTTTAATTATTTGGTGTGTGATGGACTGAAGAACTTATCATTTTCATTTTGTTTATTTCGTGAGAAGAACCTTTTTGTTTATTATTTTGATCTAGATTTTTTTTTAACAACAAGAGTTGTTCAGTTATTTTATTTTATTATTTACATCTGCCTGCCAAACTATAAATGAACCTTACTCATTAGGACATTGGAGTCTCAAACTAAAGCCTCTCATGTTGGAATTTAAGACTACAGGTGACATTAGAAATATTATTTATTTTAATTTAAATAAACATAGCTGAGGGCAACATTCTTCTAGCAATACTTTAGACGGCTAACCGGTAACGTAATCAATGTTAATTGAAGAAAAACTAAAAGACAACCGGTTGAACGATTATTTCAGCATAGTTTTATACATTACATAGGGATAAAACATAAAATGTTTGATTAAGACTTTTGTAATTTTTTTCGCAAAATACTAATTTTTTTTCTTTTTTAACTAGAAGAATATTTTTAAATTTGTATAGAACTATTTACTGATTATTATGTTAAATGGCTTCCAGCTATTAAGACAAATGTATTTGATAAGGATAGTGGAAAATATATTGTAGGTATTCAAAAAATAATATAACTTTTAAATCGCTGCTTCATTATGATGTAAAAGAATTTAATCCTAATGACATTAACTATTATATTATACCAATATATTTGTATTATACTAATATATCTAGGCGCTGATGACATAGATGTTTTGTGCCTATAACATCAAAACAACCATCCAATATATTTGAACTTTAATAAATGGAGCAACAATGTATAGAATACCTGTTTAATTTTTTCTTTATACCATGATGTTCTAAAATGTTAATATCTATTTATTATTTATAAGATGTAATTTTTTTTTTTTTTTTTTATAAAATTTGTGATATTGTAGACTCTCTTCAGAATGTTATAACCATGAGGTATGTCTTTAGCTTTTGTTTGATATACACTGTATTTAATGTAAATTTATTAGAAATAAATCTATTATTATTATTATTATTTATTTATTTCCTGTTTTTTCTCGCTTTGCAGGTTGAATATCTGAGGTGGGAGACGATAAGTCCAGCCACCTTCATATTATTTTTTCAAATATTTAAAATTTTTGAACAATACATGCTGTTTCTAAGAGAACTGAGTGTTGAGTCTCTCTTGACACATAAGTAGGTAATTTTAAAATATCCGTGCCAGCCACTGTTGACTTTGGTATTAGCTCAGTGATAGATATTATAGCCCATTATTTGATAATTGGAGTGGTGGTGACAGTTTCCAAATGATATAATTCCTTTGATTCTATAAATAGTTTCTGATATTTTTAGAGTTTTTCTCCTACAGTGGAGCCTGTAAATAATTATTAAAGGTTAATTTTAAGTAATCTTTTTTGGCGGGAATAGTAAACATTCCTTCCATTTTTATCAGGGAACTAGTTTATTTACACTCGTGATTATTAAAACAAAACCCCGGCACTGGATATAGACTTTTTGAGGGTGTTTAACTGTCGTTGGTAATTCGGGAATCAAATTCCTTTTTGTGACACTGAGTGAGAAGAAACATTAATATATATATATATATATATATATATATATATATATATATATATATATATATATATATATATATATATATATATATATATATATATATATATATATTTATAATGTGGGACTGAGTAAATACACTTTAAATGAATTGACTCACCTGGTTTGTTATTCTTCAGTTGTGAGGCATATAGGACAACTAAATAAAATGACTTTTCACTCCTGTATAATAAAACAATTTATATTAACAACTGTAATAAATTAATGTATAAAAGTCTTATAACTGAAGGCTTGATATTCTTAGTCTTCAATGTAGTAAGCCTTTCTTCCCAGATGACGTCTTCTCGTCTTCGTGTCCAGGCCTCAAGTGCCTGGCGTCCTCTTCCAGCTGCTGCTACCTGATCGGACCTTTTTCCTTCTTCATCGATTGTTTATCAATATGAGATTTTTCAATGAACAATTTGTCCACTGCACAATTGAGTACAATTCACAGTGCAACCTCTCATTCCTGTATATTCCTTCTCATTCCCTCACACAATGTCACGTAAAGCAGTAAATACTAGAAGATGTCCACTACAAGCCTGTCTTATTATCATTGGGAATCCTTCCATCAAATCAATAAATTCTGTTTTTTTTTTGTGCGTTAAAATATATAAGGAGGATATCTGGTCTATTATGACACAAAGAATGGTCCATTATAATTGATTCATCCCGATAGAGCTTGGGAGGACCTTTTTGTAGGAGCCTATTTGGGTAGTAGAATATAATATGGAGTCTTGTCATCTAATACTTAAATTTCACCACTAGAACCTGACCGAAAATTTTGGCCACATTGTTAATTTGGAGATATTCTGGAGATACTCGGTACCGTACATCAACCTGTGATATGTTGGATTGATTCCAGTGTCCCTGAGCATAATCAACATTTATCCATAGTTTTTGTGTCTTCTATATGGTCCAGTGGCAATAAATCTATCTTGAATGTCGATTAAAAATCATCTCTCCTAGAATAAATTTCCAGCTTTTAGCCATTTGACTGATATTTTATTATTATATTATATGTTTTCTCATAAGTATTTTAGTTTAACTCATGAATAATTGATAAAAAATCGTTTTAAACAATTAAATTGATTTAATATTCTTAATTTTTTATTTTTTCAGTTGATGTTGAAGCTACAATCATTACAAGTACTAATTTTGTAATAGAGAGTTGTGAAATAGATGGTAAAAGTATAAAAAATGGGGAACCTCTATGCAGTACTTCTCTATCATCATCCCTTAACGAGATACATGTAAATTTTTCTGACATTAAAAAAAAATTGCTTATTGCATGCATCATTTCATAATTTCATTACCATATTGGCATTGGATTTAATGTTAACATTGTAAAGTATGATTTCAACATAATATAATATCTGGTATGACCAGATTAATGATGAGCATAAATGTAGATCTGTGTCATGTATTATTTGCTTTGCCCCGATTTTTTATTTATTTACTTAGAAATATAATAATCTGTCACGTGGACAATAATTATCGTGATATATGAACACATTCACACCATATATACAGAAAATATAAAATTAACAAAAGTAAAATAATAACTAAATAATAATCAAAAACTGTGTAAAATAAAAAGTAAAATAACCTAAAGATAAGTAAATTAAAAACACAATCATACCTATATACAATCAGGCAGGGAGCTCCAAGCCAGGCTTCTCTCTCCAACTATAGAAGGAGAAGCAGGACTCCAAGAGATCCCTACTCTCTTAATCGCGTCACTGGTGCTAAAGCCAGTGGAGTAAATGTATTATTTATTATGTATTATTTAGAGTAAAAAAAAGAACATAGGATAATGCTTAAAAAAAATATTACAACACATGTACTTACAAATACAGAAAAAAAAAATATATTACATAAAGCCTATAACAAGTCCAAACATAGCTTTTTTTTTCTTTCTTTCAAAGTTATTGAAATCTCAAATTAAGGGTGTATTTTGTATGTAATGTTTAATTTTAATATACATCTGCAAGACCTGGATACTAATTAGCATTCATAAAAGAATTATTAAAAAAAAATTGAGAGAAAAATGTTACGCATGATAACCAGAGTGATATGGGACTATAATACTAACCCATGGAACAGAAAGACCAATAAAAAACTGCTTACATAAATTGGTCAATCAATATAATATTATGAAGGCAAGGAGGCTAAGTTGAGTGGTACATTTAGCTTGGGGAAATCCATTAGAAAGCCTACACAACAATGAATGCTTAATAATAGGCAAGAAACCACATGGAAAGCCAAGAACCAGGTGTAACGGCCATAGGTCTCTAGTTATTAAATTACTTTTAGGAACCTTTTGATAATTGGAATATCTGGTCACTATAGACCTCTGCTGTCAATCAGTGAGCATCTCTTCTGTGTCTATTAGATATTTTAATCTATAGTGTACTTAGGAATTACATTTTGTGAGTAATATATTTATCACACCATTAAAAATACTTAGTGGGGTGTTTATAGCATTTGTGGATAATACTGCATCAGAAAGTGTACTGTCCTAGCTAAACAAGAAACTAGGCATTAGAACGAGCACTGATTAGGGCCTAACTCTCTGATTCTCCCACCGCTAGTTTCACTCCCCACTACTCTCCTCTACCGCTCTATCGGCTTTAGTTCAATTCCATATCTCGCTATGGCGCCATGTACAATATGTTAATTAGCAGTAACTAGGGAAGAAAAAACAACCCTAGCATGCTTAAATTGCAAATATATATTGAATAGTAAATGTGCTATTGTCACCGACGTTGAGACGTTAAAAAAAAACAAAAGGTGCTGCCGCACTTGCGATCCACTAGTAACAACAACAAAGCAGTGCATGCCTAATCCTAGCTCCAGCACAGAAGAAAATTTTTTGTTGATTCTTACCGAGCTAGGCAAAATTACCGAAGAAGTAAAAGATCTCAAGAGCACCGTTAGACAAACAAACAAGTTTATCTTTTGCGAAAACTCAGAAAGACTCAAATCAATGGAAGAACGTTCCAAGAGGCAGGAAGAGTTAATCGAAAAATTATTAGCCGAAAATAACAGCCACAAAACAGAATTAATAATATGGAAATTAGGCTAAACTGTGTAAAACAAACGCAGCTCTCTCATTTGATTGAGCTTAGAGGGATCCCCACAAAAACCAGGGAAACGCTTGAGGGTATAGTTTTGTCCGTCGGGGTGGCCCTGGGTATTAAGGAGAAAGCGTGCTTTACGTGGCCACCATCAATCGTCATACGTTTTGTTCACCAGTTGATCCGTCAATCCGTTATGAGAGACAATATCTGTCTTGGAATAATCATATTTCCCAAATAATCCGAAAATCCATTGCTACCCTCAAACAGTTCCTAAGATTCCGTGATTCCATGCCCCTTAAAATCCGTCAGATCCTAGTTTCCTTACTCATTTTCCCTCATTTTGATTATGGCTGCCTTGTATACGGTAGACTGTCTGGTGATCTTGAGATCAGATTAAAGACATAATGAATTGTATTTTTGGAGTCCCCAGGCGCTCCCACGTCTCCAGTTGATATGCCGAGTTGAAGTGGCTCTATCCAGTCTTCCGACGGCAATACTTCCTGGGTGTATTCCTTTTTTGAACCTTTTCAACTAAAAAAAACCTACTTATCTTCATTCAATACGAGATCCCATCCCTCAAACCTGTTTATTCCTTTTCATAGAACTGTTTCCTTTAAAAAATCCTTTGTCATACATGCTACCTTGTTTTGGAATTCCTTACCAACCTCCATATGCAAATCCTCGTCCTTGACCTCATTTTAACATAATTTATGTATCCATCTCTTCAGCAATCAATCTTCCAAATATGTGTAAAATAATGTTAATGTTTTTCAGACCTGTCAATCACATTTAATGTTATCCTACAGATAATTATATATCATCCACATTAAATTGTACATTTTAGTTATTCTAAGGGGACTTAGTCCCAGAATAAAATTTATTTTCCTTCTTCTATAGACATTAATTTCATTCAATAAAGCATGAATAAATGTAAATGAGCTAAATGTATAAATAAAATAATTCTGAAATATAAAGGAAAAAAAAACTCCATTCAAGCACTTGTTTTCTTGATTAATAAAATAATTAAGAAAATAATATATAAAACTAATTTATAGGCAAAAGACAAACATCTAAAATAAATAACAAAGAATTTCATGTTGAAAGAAAAGAATAAAATATTAATGTTGATGATGTGCAATAGTGAAAATCACCAAACTCTGCCTTTCTGCCTTATTTCCTACTCTATTAAATTTCTGCAATTTTTCCTTCGAAAATTCCATTTTCTCAGAATCTTGGAAAAAAGCCATCGTCCGCCCATTGAACAAAGTTCCTACTATTTCCTCAGCTTTTAGAGATTAGATCACTCTCAGTTGAATAACTTTCGAGCAAAATCGTCTCCTCAATCCTTTACAATCCGGCTTTTGTATCCAATACTCCACCCAATCTGCCTTGCTTGTTAAACATTACCCAAGACCTCCAATCCGTCATAGATAAAATGAAAATCTCCATCCTAATCCTTTTCGACTTATCCAAAGCCTTTGATTCCATCAATCATAAGATCCTCCTTTCCAAACTCCAAAGCCTGCCCATATCAGTCCTGACGTCTAGATGGTGAGCTGGACGGAAGGGGGAAAGGAAAGGTCACAATTTTTGGATTTTCACTTATTCTTGAAAAGGGTGCTTCACACGGGAAATTTTTCGTATAGTAAATTAAAGTTTATAAAAGTATACACAATTTTTATTCTATAGTTTTTATCCTAATTCTAAACCATTTTCGAACTACACACACAAAATATGCTCTTTTTGAAAAAAATCATTTTTCATCAAACATTCCTTCATTTTTTCTTTCGAACTCATTTAAAAGAAGTTATAGAGACTTAAATTCTCTATTAGAATATATTTACATTTAAAATTTAATCTCCAATCATTCTAGAGTTACAGCTATCAATTACCATGATTTTTTATTGTTTTTATTTTATTTTTCTGCTTTATTTAATAACTGGATTTAAAGTGTGTCTACACATATTACTGAAAAAATGAACAAAAGTTATACCAAAAACGTTATTATAGATCTATTACTATGCCATTTTTGAGTACTGAGGAAGAAGACAGTAGGCGCTTACAGAAGAACCGCTTTTTTCAATAACTTATTAATATTACATTCACAAATTTAGATGGATTCACGTTTTCATTCACTTTGAACTTGCGAGTCTTGGGAAGGGTTGTTTGTCCATGGGATCTTTACCCTCAGTAGTGGTACACGGTGGACCAGACCCCCCTACCATACACTCTCCCACATCCCTATAAATTTCATATTGTTGTGTTTTTTTGCAACTATTTAGTCAAAAAAAGCCAATGGTCCCATAAAAAAAGTTAACACACTGTCCCAAAATGCCGTTCACCATGATGGAGTGACAACTTTGACTTGAGTTAGTTTTCTGGTCACTGAAATTCAGCATTTGGTTTAATTTTGTCATAATTGTCATTTTATTAAAGCTGAATAGTCAGAGAATAATAAAACATGACAAAAAAAAAAAAAAAAAATTGGTTTAGGCAATAATAAAACTGGTAAAGTCAATTCATCCAATTTGTTCAAACTAATGTTGCAAATCAAGTGTTTTTTGTAAATAAATGGCCAAAATAAGAAAAAATGCCTTTAAATAAAACATCTGGGCAATACATTTATTTTACTAAATCAGTGATTAATTTTTTTTAATTATTTGAAACAATTCCTTAGAAAATGCATATAATCGGCAGAAAAAGCGGTTCTTCTGTAAGTGCCTACTGTCTCCGTCCTCAGTACTCATAAATGGCAAAGTTATAGAACTATAATGACGTTTTTGGTTTAACTTTTGTTCGTTTTTTGTGTTAAATCCAGTTATTAAATAAAGTAGAAAATAAAATAAAAATAATAAAAAATCATGTTAATTGATTGCTGTAACTCTAGACTGGTTGGAGATTAATTTGCATATGTATATATATATATATATATATATATATATATATATATATATATATATATATATTATAATAATAATAATAATAATAATAATAATAATAATAATAATAATAATAAGAAACCTCTCTATGGCATGGATCGATTATAAAAAGGCCTTTGACTCGGTTTCCCACAGCTGGCTACTTAGAGTACTAGATATATACAAGGTTGAATCTAAAGTAAGCAGGCTCCTTTCAAACTTAATGACAGGTTGGAAAACTACGCTGAAAGT